AGGGAGTCCTCGGTAATGGGGGCAGCCTTGCGATGCAGCATGTGGTGGGGCTGTGTCAAGGCTGCAGGGCAAGCCTTTCATTTCATCATTCCTCAATTTCCATGTAGGCAGTTTTAGTGAAGGCATTTGCAGGTCATGCACTGGCTGTACTGCCTCTGCTGTCCCGTGCTCTGTGTTCACCATGTCCTGAGCCCCCTAAGATGCTGCATCCCTGAGTTTGTTTCAAACATGGGTTTGTTTCCTTCCCTCCAGTTCTAGCTGTGCTGGAAACGTTCCTGAAAATGAAAGCCAGCTCTTTTTTTGAGCTTTGAAGTGTGGAGTAGAATTGAAGAGAGAGAAAAAAATCTATCCTATGGGGGATGGGTTTTTAGAGAAAAACCTATTGAGTCAATGGCATAAACAGCGAGTCCTTGGAGTCATTTCCATAGGAACCAGCCCCTCTGTTCCGGGCAGCCTCCCTGCAGCAGCACCCAAGGCTGCCGCTGAGTGGGGAGCAGGGCTGCAAGGGGGGACTCTGAGGTCTGCCCGCGCCAGGCAGAGGGAGCAGGGCAGGGCAGGCTGCTCGCTATTGAATCAGTGATTCACAGCTCTGATTCACAACTCCATCCTATAGCTGTGGAAAACGGCCAGATCTGGTCATCAGCTGTGTGCCTTTTTCCAATGCAAGAAGTTATTTTTGAGCATTTTTAGATTACAGCACTTGTTTTTTTTCTGTGCCTCTGAATTCTGGATGATTGCACTGCAAGTAATTGAGGCACTTGAATTTCCTGCTTTGAGAAGTGAGCTCAATACCATTTTTGCAGCTCTAAGCCATTTCTAGAATAGCTTTTCTGTGTGGCATCATGGGAAGCAGGCACACAGCTTTGGGGCTGTTTGTGCAAAATTTGGGAACACTGGGTGCAGTAAGTTTGCAGAAAAGGACTTGGGGACCATCAGGTAGAACATGAGTCACCAGTGCACCCTTGCTGTGATGGAGACTGACTGGGTTTTACTAGTAAGATTGTAGCCAGCAGGTCAAAAGAAGAGATAGTTGCCCTCAATTCCTCTCTTAATGGGACCACACCTGGAGCACTGTGCCCAGTTTTGGGCTCCTCACTGCGACAAAGACATGGCCATATGGGAGCCACCAAAATGATCAGCGGTCTGGAGCCCAAGGCAGGGGAGGAGAGGCTGAGAGTGCTCCTTCAGCTTGGAGGCATGAGAGCTAGGAGAAGGGTCTCATTGCTGTCTTCAGAGGTGCACAGTGAAAGGATGAGGGGTAACGGGCAGATGTTGCAACAAGACAAATTTGGAGTAGATGTTAGGAAATGTTTTTCACCCCAGGGTGGTCAAACACTGGAACAGGAGGCCGGAGAGGAAGATCCATCTCATACTTAAAATGTGGCTGGTCAGGCCCTGAGCATCTAATATCAAGTTGGGTCCAGCTGAAAGCTTGGCCCTGCTTTGAGTGGGGTGTTGGGGCAGAGACCTTCCCACCTTCATTAGACTGGGTGCTTCATGTCCCTCTCCAGCTGAATCAGTCTATGATTTTGTGATCCCAGAAGGCATTAAGGGGATGTAGGACTTTGGCTGTCCCCCTGACACTGGGGTACAGCCATAATGCAGGGGCTGGTGAAGCCCACCATGTGAGTTCATGTGTGTTCACTCCCTCTCTAAGACTAGAAGAAAGGAAAAGGGTCTGAAAGGCTGCCCATCTCCCCTTCCTTCAGGGATGAACCTCCCTTTGCTCTCTGGTGTTGTATGGCCACCCCTCCCTGAGGGCATACAGCTCCAGAACAAGAGCTCAAAACAACCTAAACAAGATCCACACGTTTCTTGGTACAGCTGTTCCTCTTGTGCCATGCACCGGACAGGCTGAACTGTGTCGCACAACCCTCGCCCAGGCTTCAGGGACTAACCACCATCCTTCTTCCCCCTGCTTTCCAACCCAGCCCTGGACAAGTCTGGTGCTTTGTGGCGGCCAGCTCTCCTGTCTGTGCCTGCATGCAGCCATGGGGCCAAGGATCATTGGGGTGGAGAGTGAGGACCACCTGGTTAGGGAGTTCAGTGAGGCTGGGGGTCCTGGTCCTACTTCCCAGGTGAATGCCCTGACCACAGAGTGAGCCTTTCCTTCCATGCATTCCCTCTGTCCTAGGGCACAGAGGCACGGCTTTGACAGGAGGCAGGAGGAGCTTCTGTCCAGTGCAACCCATTGCCTGAAGGAGGGGCAGGAGGGGAGGAAAGAGTCTTTCGGGAGGTGGAAAATGTGATGCTGGCACTGCTGCATCGAAGAGGGAGTTGAACATGGGCCTCTGATTTCAAAACAGAGTTCAAACTACCAGAATATTACAATCTAAAAAAAAAAAGAAAAAAAGATTTGGCACTTCCTTGTGCTTTCCCTTTCCCCATCCCTGGATCCCATCACCGTGCTAGGGCAGCCTCTAGAGCCAGAAGCAGTGTCTGGGAGGCACCAGAGTGTTTCTGGGCAGCTTTCCTGCAGCCCTGAAAAACCTGGGAACCTCAGCTGCCAGCCACGGGGGCAGCTGGTGGGGCAGGAGCTGCTGGTGTTAACTGGTGACTGAATGGGTTGTGGTTTGCAATGGTGTTTAGGTTCATAAGTCCTTTATTGGATCTAGCCCGGGGTGCTATTCCCAGCTGTGCTTGTGACATTAACAGGTCACTGCAGCCCCAGGGCTGTCTCCTCCTTGTCCTCGCTGCCTGGACTGCCTGCACGCTGCTTACTGGCATAACACTGAGTGCAGGGTAGCGGTACCCATGTCCAAGGAGTCTCAGCACAACCATCACGCAAGCGCTGAAATCAATTTGCGAGGTGGGCAAGCCTTGCTTCTGGCCTTCTTGAAACTGTGCCACCACACACATAGCAGAGGATGGATATAAATAGTTTTCGGGATGCCCTGGGTTGCAGCAGACAGCAGGTATTTCAGAGGCGGTGCTGTTGACAGTGTCGTGCCAGGGCGGTCTCTGCTACATTAGGGATTGTTTGCATCCTTCACAGATAAACTGGTGTAAGAGCAGTGCCCTGCACCCCGCTGGGGCTGGATCAGGCAGGAGGTACAGAAGGGGAAGGGACTGGTGGTCATGTGGTCCTGGCACAGGTCCTGCATGGTTTTGGACAAGTTGCTTAAGACCAGATTTTCTGCAGAGTAACTGGGAGTGTCCATACATGCATCCTTACACTCAGATCTTGTGTTTCAAAGGGAGTTTGCCCATGTATACCCCTCACTTGGTCCATACTAAGCTGTGTGACTGAGCAGGGCCATGTGGGGCCTGATCAGAGCTCATGGGCACTCTTATCCATCCCGTGCATCTGCAGTTTTTCTTCCTGTGTGCAGGACATTTGCACAGGGAGGATAGTGAAAGCTCTTGTGCATTCAGGGCTTCTCTCCTTGCAGAGCTTTGATGCAGCTGGGGCAGCGACCTAGACACGGGAGCTGCCCACACTACATGCCAGATACAACCTTCAAGGATGTGCCTGTGGGTCCATCTCATTTCTGAAATGGCCATATTGAGCCTGTCCTGTGTGTGAAGGCTGCTGTGGGTGCAAACGGCGGGGGGAACTCGGGCAGCAGGATGCTCAGCATGGTGGTGAAGAGCCCATCTGCCACCCAGCACGCAGCGCTGAGTTGGCATGGGCAGTGCCTGCACTGACATTTGCAGCGCGCAGGGTGCTGAGTGCTCAAGCACGGAGCTGTGACAGGAGAGTCCAGAGCTGGGGGAGATCTCGGCTGTCTGAGCATGTCTGAGCAGGGCTTCAGGGTCTGGCAGCTCCTGGGTGCAAGGGCTGGGTCCACTGTGGTGGAGGAGGAGGCCACCTCCATGCCTTGCAGCCTGGTGGTTTGAACATTTGCCTGGGAAACAGGCTCAGCTCTCTCCAAGGGGGAGGGCTTTCACCCTCCCCCATCTCAATTCTGGAGATCTCCCAGCTGCAAGAGCAGGGCAGCCCTTGTCCCAGGCAAGCCAGCACACAGCAGAGCCTGGCATCCCAGTGGGCAGCAAGAGCTGCAGGTGGTCAGAGCACTCAGCTGGGAGAGGGGAGACCGGCAGTCTGAGTGATGTGGTCACTTAGGGTCAGAGCAGAGGAGGATCGAGGAAGCTGGTGAGATGTTTAGGTCTCTGCTGGAAGCAGTGAAGCTCCGGGGGGCGCTCTGGGAGCACAGCCCTGACCTCTTCGGAGGGGAAGTGCCACCACCAGTGAGCAGTGGCCAAGCACAGCTGGCACCTGGCAAACATGAAAGCGGGTCTTGTTAGACTGCGCACAGACTGCTGATTGTAACCTCGGCCACAAACCCTCCTTAAAGCCTGGTAACATTCCCAGAGGTTTCCCAGGCAGATCTGTGGTGCTCAGCCCCTCCATCGCCCAGTCCCAGGGAACCAAGGTGGGCACCCACCTCCCTTCTCTCCTCTCCATGTTGCTCCACCCTCCCCAGGACTGTTTGCTGCCAGCTCTGCAGAGCCAGCGGCTGCTTTTGGACTTCCTTCAGAGCAGGTTTCATGGCACTGGGCAGCTGGCTGCATGCCACGATCACACTGTGGGGTTTTCTCACTCTCAGTCTCACAAAGGAAGCTGCAGACCAGAGCAGTAGCCTGAAATACTTCAAAAGGGGCATCCACTCACATGGCCTGCAAAAGGAACAGAGGACCTGGTCGTACAAGACTGGATGCAGCTCTGGGACTTTAGGACCAGCATTTTTTTGTGGTGTTATATTGGTGGGAAGGCACCCACAGGGATTTTGAGGTGATGAGGTGCTGGCTGTCTCTGAAGTCAGCCAGAGTTAGGCAGGTGTTGCTGGAAGGACCACTGAGCCCCCAAGTGCTTCTGGTATTGGGAGACTTCTGAAAGTGTGTTGACTCTTAAGTGTTATGTAATAGAAGGATTTAAAGCCTGCAAACTCCTCTCCACCAGTGGACAAGCCGGCAGCCTTGGCTTCTCATGCTCTCTGACAAGCCCACGCCTCCTGACTGAGCTTTAGTAACTTGCTGTTTCTTTTCTTTTCCCATAGCTCCCAGAATGGAGAGGAAGGTGGAGCCTGGCCGAACAACCAGTTTGACACGGAGATGCTCCAAGCCATGATCCTGGCTTCAGCAAACGGTTGGTCTCCATTGTGTGTGGAAAAACTATGGCACTTGCTTTCGTGCGAACTTCTCAGATGCATGCTATTAGATAAGAGGCTGGTGGGATTGATGTTTCTGGATTGACTGAGGTGGCTTCAAAAGTCCTTCTTCAACAGATGCTGGTGGAAAAGCACTGCTGTCTCTCTCCTTGGCCCTGCAGAGGAGAGGGGTCGGGACGGATTCAGACAGAGGAGATACCAGATAGCCATCAGCATCAGGCATGCTGTAAACAGGGGTACCTCTTCCACCCAAACTATATCATCTATGTACCAGACGGAATATTATCTGGCTTGTGACAGGGTTGTGTTACATGAAAGAGCCAGTCTTGAGATGTGTTGTAAGCTACTTGGCTTCAGAAAGTCACAGTAAATGAAATGTCTGCTGTGTTGCAACTTGCTGTAAGGCGAGGAGATAGGAAGCCTGGAAGATTTGCTTGTGGCTAGAGGCTGGACCAGGAATACAGTAAATGCCTGACAGTAGCCGCAACAAGCCTCCTGTCCAGAGATGCCAGTGTGTGCTTTCTGCTCACACCGGGTCCCTCCACCGAGCCGTGGGCTCACCAAGGTTTGCCCCACTGGCTGCTGCTGGCTCTTTGCAGTTGTAGTTGCTGGGGTTTGGGTTATTTTGGGTTGGTTTGTTCTGGTTTATGGCTGTGCTGCGTGGAAGTGGTGGGCAGGGAGGGGTGTTCCCATGCACCCGCGGTCTCCATGGCTTTATGTAAAAGAAGTGCATTTATCACTCTGTGCAGCACTACAGATAAAGAGGCTGGTTTTCATACAGCCTTTATTTATAAATACCGCCAAGTCTTTTCCCCCTTGATTTAAAAATAGAAGCAGCAGCACAGCCATAAAACCCTGTGCAAAATGCTTAGGATGTTTCCTTTGAGCTGTTGGGAGAGAAGGAATCTGGGGGAGGAGGGATGGCTTTAGTGTTGCTTTCTTGGAAAGCTGCTGCAGCTGAACTTTGCTGCTCTGCAGACACCAGGCAGCCTGGAGACACAGCTGCCGTGGCCAGGGAAGGGGACGAAGGTCTTGGGCAAGGGAGTTGTTTACACTGAAAGGAAAGAAACAATGCGAAAATGTGTCTCTGCTCTAAAAAACGACCATGGAAAAATAGCCTCCGGCCTTGCACGTGGTTATCATCAGCCAGTGCCTCCAGATCCGGTTTCCTTGCTCGCAAATAAAGCTGTTTTTCTGACTGCTGCTCCAGCAGTCCCCAAGACCAGAGAGATGAGCAGGTCCCTTCCAGGTTAAGCACCAACTTCCACATAGCCCCGGGCCCTATTGCAGCAAATCTCCCCCAATCCACAAGTCTCAAACAGTCCTAACCTCTCCCACGGCTTCAGTGCATCCAGGGGGTTAATTTAAATCAGATCCATCTGCTAGATAAGGGTTTTCCCTGGTGCAGCCCCAGGGAGAGGATGGCTCCATGCTCTCCATCCTTCTCTTGCCCCCACCGGTCCCTTGCTTGGATGGATGGATGGATGGATGGATGGATGGAGACATAGCATAAGCTTTTTCCACCAGCACTGTGTTTTCATGTCTCCCCTACTCTCTGTCCCCCCTGCCCCCCCCCCCCTCCCTTTTCTGCTCTCATTCATTAATAGTGTTGATTGGAGCAGGCTTTGATTAGGGGCAGTGCTAATTGCCCATTAAGCTTTGTGCTGCCCATCCTTGGGTAATGTTTCCTGGCTATTTAAATGATCCTTATCTCTTACTGTCACCTGCTGGTCTCTGTCTGAGCTCTAGGCTGGCAGGTGGGACACAGTGACACAGATGATGGCACTGTGTGCTCTTTGCCTACCCGCTCCTCCCAAGTGTGAGCTGGTCCCGCACAGAGCAGTTGATGCTGACTTCCACCGCACTACATCAAGCCCATGCTCAAGTCTGTGCCGAGCAGAGACTGCCTGGGAGGCAGAAGTTCCTTTGATCCTGCTCTGCTCCAAGAGCATCTGGAAGGGGCTGGTGATGCTCTGCCTGCATCCTTACCCTGTGCCAGGGATTATCCTTCGCTTTAGCAAGAGGCAGAACTGGCCCTGCCATGCCAAGCCTGCACGATCCACTTGCTCTGAGGATTAAATCACTTACTTACCCAATGGTTAAATCACCCTCCCAAGCCAGTGTGCCTGGGGAGCTGGTTTCCCCCAGGGCTGTGACCCTGGTGTGGGGCTTCTGTCTCCCTTCCTCTGGATCTTCCCCCCTTGCAGCTGGAAACAATATGACAAGCCAGTGTTTTGAGCCATCTGAAGGGACAGAGGCAGCTGCTACGACAGACCAAGGAGCACCGATGCTCCAGGATACCAGACACTAAAGGGCAGACATTCTGTCCTTAAAATACTCTGGCTTCCAGTGAGAATTTATAGGGGTGCCATGAGATGGTGGAAGAGCAGATGGAAAGGCAGCCCGAGGAGGTCCTTCTCCCCAGCTCCACTGCCTGCAGGCAGGGGCAGATGCGCTATATTGGGTTCTCCTGAAAGTCCCACCAGCAGCTGCAGGAGCATGTGCTCCAGTGCTGCCTCTAGTTTGCCTCTCCTCCCCTTTGCTTATGAGGGCGATGGAGCCACTAACTGGTTATTTTTGCCAAAGCCCAAATTCTTGTTTTCCTCCTCAGGATCGTTTGGGATAATGTCTGAGTTCTGGTAAAGGCTGAACATAACCTTTCCAGCAACAAGAGCTGAAGTGCCCTGCTTGGCAAGAGCAGCTCTGTGCCCATTTATAAACCTCTATTGTTCCTGTTCTCTCTTCTTTTCAGCCTTAATGTCAATGTTACCTAGAAACAGCCCTTTGCTCTTACCCTGGACCAACAGGCAGGCTGGGAACTTCACGGGTGGCTTTTTCTCCCCCATGAAAGCTGTGCTGTGACTGCAAACTAGTTCACAGGGACCAGTTGTCCTGGATGCCGCTGGGATCCCACAGCCTCCTCACTGCCCTGGTGCAGCTGGGATGGTCCAGTAGGGAAGCACGGCAGCAGTACCCAGTGGTGAAGGCACAGGAGAAGGTGCCCAAGACCCCAGTCAGGCTGTATCCAGCTGGAGGAGCCCAGAAAAAAAAATCTGCCCCACTGCCAGAGGTCATAGTCCACATGCGAGCTGGCCCCTGGCTGCAGCCTGGCCTGACAGCACATCTCCAGCCATCCTGTCCCTGTTCATAACACCCTGATGGGTATGGGGTTGAGTTGGTTGTTAATGAAACAAGTTGCTGATGAGGTGGGCTGAGGATTAGCGATAAATGTCACTAACTGTATATGCACATCTCCTTCAGCCCTTCTCCAGACCAAGGTCCTCAAAGCCCCGCCAGGTCTGGGACCCATTTAATGGGGACTGTAGAAAAATTCTCCTGCCACTGAATGCTTCCACAGCAGAAAGCAAAATGGCATTTCCCCACAGTGGTTTGCTGTGTTTCTACACCCTCCTGCGTGTCCCCCAGCCTTCCTGCACAATATCCCGCCTGTTTTCGGACTCAATGTGTATTTTCCTCTGCCTGCTCCAGCAGAGCAGCTGTAACTTTTCAAACTGCAGTTGCTTAATACTTCCGACCCCTGCAAGGGAATGTGTACACAGCAATATTTCAGGGGGGCTGGTGGGATGTGGCCCAGCTTTTTGTGTAGCTTTCTGGCTGGCTTAGCCACCTCCATCTGCTCAGGGGAAAGCAAAGGCAACACGGAGGAGTGTACAGATCTGGTCTGGAGCAAGGAGAAAAAAAGGAAGGGACCAGCCCACATTCTCTGCTCGTTGTTTTTCTTTATTCCCTCAGTCTCTCTGCCTGTGAGAGGAGGGAGCAGTAGCCCCGACGCTCCCTTGGGCCCTTCAGGTGTCCTTGGTGGGTTTCTCCAGCCTCCCAGGAGAGCGTGACCATAGCCACATGCACGAAGCAGTTAAAAGGCTGAAATGGCATCCACAGTATCCAATGCAAAGGCAGGGGTTTAGCAAATCATTTCTGAGCAGGGCTGTGCAAGGATCCCATGGTGGGCTGTGCATGGGCAGTCACGCTGGAGTGAGTTCCCACAGCGGCTCATGGCAACAGCATTGCTTGTGCTCTGCCATCCCCGCCGTGCTCATTTCTCCCCTTGCCTCTGTGCATCCCCTCTGTCTCCATCTGGTCTCTATCTTCCAGCAGTGTCCCAGCATTGCGCGGGGGCCGTGTGCATTTTCCCACCCCTGCGCTTGCTCTCTCTTTGCTGGGGCTTTGTAGAGTGACAGGAATGAATTTGCCTTCCCCTCCCCCTGCTCCCAGATCTGGACCGTAGGACACACTTCAGCATTGATTTGCTTCGTGCTTGGCTTCCTAGAGCCATTTTGTGGTATTGCAGGGGAGGGATTTTATTCGCTCATGTGCTCTGCTCCCTGAATAAACCTGGCTGGAGAAATAATGGGGGCAGGGTTTTAAATGCAGTGGAAAAAAAAAAAATTGGATTTCCCTTAATGCATTACTAATGGTTATGTCTGTACAATATGTTTGTAATGGGCCACTTTTGGAGGGAGGGATGTTTTTCTGCGGAGGCAGCAGCCGGGGAGGGTGGCAGAGCAGACAGCGTCAGGCAGGCAGGGAGGGACAGGCAGCCCCATCGCTGCTAAGCGCAGAGGAGAGGTTGCCCTACTCCAGCCAGCCTCCAGCCCCAAATACCAAACCTTTAACAATGATGTGAGATGGAAACAAGGGATTTTTGGTGCCAGCTGCACCATGCTCCCCAATACGCACATTGCAGCTGTTCCATGGAGCAGTAGTGCTGGAGGGTAATGACGGGTGGGGGGGGCGAAGGTTGGTGGCACTGAGGTCTGGGTTTGACACCCCATGAGAGCCTTTCGGGGCTGCTGGGGCTTGGGGTGGGCTCTGGCCAGCACTAACAACCTGCCCTTCTTTTTTGTCCCCTCCTCCGGTGTCCCCCACAGAAGCTGCTGATGGCAACTCAACCCTGGGCGGCGGGACGGGCACCATGGGGCTGAGCGCCCGCTATGGCCCCCAGTTCACGCTGCAGCATGTCCCCGATTACCGGCAGAACGTCTACATCCCGGGCAGCACTGCCACCCTCACCAACGCCGCTGGCAAGCGTGACGCCAAGAGCGCCGGTTCCTCGGGAGGCAACAAGAAGAAATCCGGGAAGAAGGAGAAGAAGTAGAGAAGAAGAAGGAGACCTTAGAGCTACAGGGCAGCCGGCTCCAGCACTCCCCCAAACCACAGCCCAGGCCGGAGGACGAATGTGATTTTTTTTTTTTTTTTTTGTGATGCAAAAAGTAGGAAATGCTGCGAATGTATCTCATCATCATCAGAGCTAGGAGCAGGGTCTTGCTGCTGTTAGATCTCATGATGAAAACCAATCCAGAAGCTAAACCGAACACAAACAAGTGCCCTGTGAATACTTGCTAATGTTTTATACGATCCCTCGGGTATTAGAATATGCAAGGGTGGAAGGTCTTTTGCCACATCTTTGGATCCGATTTGTTCCCAGATAGTCCGAGAAAGGCACAAGGCTTGTGCTCGGCTTTGCCCAGTGTAAATAATTTTAATGCGGATATTTTAATTTATAGACCTTCAGTCATTTTTTTTTTTAAAGGAAAAGGCAGTTCCTAGCTTAGAGCCCATGCTCCAGATCTTTGCTCTTAAACTTTCCATTAGTAAAATTCACCCTCAGTTAATGATAGCGATGGATTTGTTGCTGAGAAGTTGGTAGGGAGTGCTTCAGTTCCTGCTTACCTGTTACCCGGGAAAAAAAAAGTAAGTGTTTATATTGCATGAGTCAAAGGGAATATGGCAAAGCTGCATCCTCAACATTTTTTTTTTAAGAAGTGCAACCACCAATGGCCTGAAATATGAGACAAAAAACCCCCCTCCTGATGTCTGAGAGGTAGGGAATTCAATGAGGAGCATGCCAAGGTGTGCAGCAGCTGCCCCAGCAGTTCTAGGGGTCTCCGAAGAGCAGACACATCTCATCCCTTCTTTGCAGTAAATATTTATATGTACAGTTAATGTTCTTCTGGAATTAAAGCTGAGAGAGTCTCGCTCCCCTGTGGCCAGGCAGCCATCTGGCTGAGTTCCTGCTATGGGCACCAGGGGAAGATGCTTCACGTTTCTGCACACCGTGTCTGCATGCATGTCCTTCACCTCACACCTGCGCTAGCGCAGTTAGCTCCACGGACCCAGAGAAGTTCTCGCATGCCCACGCAGTGTGGTGTGAATGTGCCGGCAGCTGCCCAAGCCTTTGCGCTGGGGCTGCCTTGGGGGAGGGTGGGGGGTGGGATCAGTCAAGCGGGATGGGGAAACTCATTGCTTCTTATTTGGGGTGTAGACCCCAAATAAGGGTTATTTGGGGTCTCACTCAAAGAGGTGAGATCTGCGGAGCTGCTGGTGCATGGCTTTGGTGCAGAGTTGGTGACTGAGTAAGTGACGGTTGGTTTGGTGGTGTTTGGGGACCAGAGCCAGAGAAGGTACCCGAGAGCTGGGGGTGAACGTGGGGTGATGCTGCAAAGCTGGGAAGCCGGGGCAACAAGGGGGGGAGGCGTCACATGGGACCACGCCAGACCAGCCTGGAGGAGGTGATGCTCCTGCTGGCTTTGGGCTTTCCAACCCGTGGATGGAATCGAAGGATGAGGAATAGAATTTCTCCATGTCACCATCACCCTTGCACCAGGCCGGCTTCCCATATCAAAGGAGCTCTGAGTCCCCCCAGGAAGGCAGAGGGGGACTTTGTGTAGCCAGAGCGAGGAGAGGGGCTGTGGGGTGCCAGGAAGCAGCCATGCTGGGTTTCCCAGGGTGTGCGTGTTGTTTTTTCCCTTTTTAATCACTAACACGTAACTCACCTGAGCAGATCCATCCCTCTCAGCCAGGCTCCAGCATGGCAGCCATCACCCCACCACCCCCCCTCCCCAAACCCAGGGCAGCAGGAGCATCCAACATGTTTCATCCGGATCCAGCCACCTCCGGCACTGGCTGCGCTGGGAGCGGTTCCCACCCTGTCCCCTGCAGCTGCCACCTGCCCCTCTCTAGAAATGCTGTAGCTGAATCGTAGTCTTTATATTTCTTTTTAATCTGCAATCTGAGGTAGTGTAGTGAGTGTCGTGTATTTAGTGGCGTGTTATTTTTAATCTCGGTAACTAACTTGTGGACACCAGTATTTTCAATTTTCTCTGTATCTTCTTTCCATGTGGTCTGTGCTCCGAGTGTACGTAAAATGAAACACGTTTGCCCTTTCAATGTGTCTAATATTGAATTATACTATATATTATATATATGCTTATATCCTTCTTATACCCATATAGACCAACGTCGATGTGTTACACGCAAGTTTTATACTCTAATATTTATATCGCTTTTTTTCTTTGGGAAAAAAAAATAATAAAATGTTTTCTTCTGAATAAATGGTATTTTTTCCAGTGGGAAGAGGGGGGCACAGATGGGGCCTGTCCATCCCAATGCTGCCACTGTGCCAAGGCTGCTGGCGGGGTGGGGGGTGGTTCAGCCCCAGCTTGGCTCCAGCAGGGGGGGATGGTCTTGGGACACCTCTGTCCTTGGGTCCCCCCAGGCCTTTGGTCTGAGTGTGACACGGCCGTGGGTGGCACTGATGTGCTCTGGCTGGTGTTTTTGGGGAAGGGCAGGGCAGACCCTGGCACACCCCACTGAGGAGACCGCGGTGTCCACAGCTACAGCCCCTTCCCCAGCCTGAGGGGATCCAGTTGCCCTTCCCCATCACTGGCAGGGATCTGTTCTCCCTTCCCCAGCCCCGAGGTGATCTGCTTTTTGTGGTGCCTGGGCTCCCCTCTCTGCGCTTGAGGAAGGGCAGATGGGGGAGTCAGGCACCGTGCCCAGGGTCTCCTGGCCAAGACGAGCCCCCTGCCTTCTCCCTGCGGGGGGGGGTCTGACACAGGCCAGGGAGAAACGTCCCGTGACTCGGGGTGTCACAACCGGAGGAAAAAATAAGCTGCTGCTGCCCAGATGTGAGGGGGAGGGTGGAGGAGGAGGAGACAGAGCAGTCCCGGAAGACAGACAGACAGACAGACAGACACACATAACCCGGGAGGCGGGGAGAGGGGACTGGAGCTAGTCCCCCCCCACATTAGCAGCACACAGGAGGCTCCAGGAGCGCAGGGCACAGCCCCCCCTCACCGTATTCCCATTCAGCCCCCCCCAGTGCCTCCGTCCGGGCTGCAGCTCTGTGGCCTCCACACCCCCCACCACCCCGAGACAGCCCTCACATGCAGAGACCACCCCCCCAAAACCCCCTTGCACACTGACACTCCCCAAATCCCCTGCACCCCACAGAGACACTTACCCCCTCCCCCCCCCAAAATCCCACTCCTGCAAAGACCCCTGAAAATCCCCATGCACCTCATAGGGGACCCCCCCCCACACACATTCCCCTGCACCCCTCGGAGTCAACCCTTCTCCGCTCCCTGTGCATGAGGATGTGATCACACGCATGCACATGCCTGTGCACACACATACACACCAGAGGGGGTTCCAGCCAGAGCATCCTCCTTTGGGGCAGGCGGTCCCAGACTACAGGGGAGGGCCTGGGGGTCAGGATGGTGACAGGGCAGGGACCTGGCGCTGTGGGGCCCCTGTCACGCCGTGCCCTCTGCCCCTGGCCCTGGGGGCCACTGTCCCTCCCACGCTGGAGTACCTGGAGCGTGTTAGGGACAGGTCCAGGGGGATGACGATGGGGATCAATCACATTGACTCACTGCTAACGGGGACCGGGGCTAAGCACATCCAGGTGCCACCCATGGGCTGTTCCCAGCACCTGCCCTAGCCCGGGTGGCATCGTCCCAGGGCACTGGGCATTGCTGCCCAGTTTGCCGGTGATGCCACTGGGCACCTGGAGCCAGGCAGTGGTGGAGGAAGAGGGGAGGGTCAGGCCAGCGGGTCCCCACCTGGGTGATGGCCACTGCTGGTGGGGAGCAAAGAGGCTCTGCAGAGCTGCGGGTGTGGGTATGACTTCAGGAGCCCACAGCCTCCCAGGTGCCCTGAGCTCCATCATGTCCCCAGCTGCTGGTGTCAGTGTAAGGATGTGCGCAGTGTGAGGATGTGTATTGAGTTTCATTTTGTTTCTCCTCTCTGTTGCACTAAAATCACCCAAGGGCTCTGCGAAAACTGGGAAGGGAAATACGCAAAGACACAAACCTGGCCAATTAGCACTGATGAAGGGAACCCGGTCAGCCATTCTAATTAACAGGGACACACGGGAGCGGGAACATGTTCACTGCAGCATGGTTAGCCAACGGAGGACTTCCTGAGCTGAGGTGATGAGAAAGGGAGGCCAACAGAAACAGAGCCCAAATCACAGCCCTGATAAAAAGGACACAAAGAAGGTGGCAAGATTGACCCCCAATGGCTCAGTGACCATCGGGGGATTAGAGGCATAGCTCCTGGGAAGGGTGACTTGACCTTGGAAAGGAGGGGATGATCCTGGATGTGGGGTGGGAGCGAGTGAGTGGATGGAGGGGGGGTCTTTCACCTCCAGCCATGGAGGGTACTCAGGGGCTCTGTGACTGGAGTGGGACATGGTTTACAGCCCGTATGCCTGATGCTGGCTGCTGCAGGGGGGGTTGAGTGGCTGTATCCCACCCCCCAACCAGGTGTGCAAGTGTATTCACCAGCAAACTTTGAGGTGGCCCAGCCAGCGAGCAGAGGGGGACCTTGGGTCTGGGGCAGGGTATCAGGCAGGCAAGGGTCCATGCTTGGATGCTCTGAACATCCCTCAACAGCCAGAAGGGGCTCGTATCCTCCTACACACGGTGCCCTCCTGCTGCTGTCTCACTCTGCTTCTCCTCCTCCTCCATCTCCTTCTTCCCCCGCCCTGCACTGGGAGAAGGCCAGCACCTCTTCCCTGCCCCTGCCCACTGTCCCTTGTCACCCTCCCAGGTACATCCATGGCATGGGACCAGGGGAGCCCCAGGCTGCTCTGCAGGCAGCTGGGCTGGAAACCTTGGTGGTACAGGAACAGGTCACTCAGTGCTGGAGACCCTGTTGTCCTTCCCCTGGGGATTGTCCCTAACTCACCACCTGCTTCTGGCGGGGCTGGAGCCTGCAGGCGCCACAGGCAGCGATGGACCCATGTCACCAGCTTGTGGGGCTCTTGTTCTCAGCAGTCACTTTTTTTGGCCAGTTGACCTTGAAAATCAAACTAAAACAACAACAGGAAAAAAAAAAGGAATTGAGCAAACCCAGTTTTCCACTGGATTTGTGAACTGAGCTGACCTGTGGTCGCTTGGCCCCAGGGAGGGTTGGGTGGGGAGCTGGCATCCTGCCTGCTGATGTGCTCCTTGGCATCAGGCTCCTGTCATGGGTTGAGTCCCGTCAGGCAGCTCCTCCAGCCGTGACCTCACCCAGCAAAGAATGGGGGAAAAAGATCACCAAAAAAGCTGAATTTTCACTCAGCTCCGTCTCGCCCCCTCCTTTGGGGTCCCCAAAGGAAGTAGTCGCCTTGGGTCTGACACAGACACTGGGAGCCACAGGATTAAATGGGTCTTTGTGCATTCCAGTGCCAAGAGCCTGCAGCTGGATTTTGAGCCTGTCTTGAGCAGAAGAACCCCCAGGGAGCCAGCGGCAGTGGGGGGGCTTCTCCTCCTGTAAACACATCAGCAGGGAGGGCAGCTGATGCCGCCAAAAACCACTCAGAAATCTTGGTGCTTGGGATAGAAAAGGTCTAAAAGGTCCTCTCTGGGGCAGTGGGTGCAAACAGCCAGGCAAGGAGAG